AGAATTGCTGGGGCGGGGTGGAGATTTCCCCTGATGTCCCAAAGCATTTAGAAAAACTGGAGGCCTATGCCAGGGGCACCCTCACCCTGGACAGGAGATCAGCCTGTAGGAGCTAGAGACTGGCCTATCTGAGGCTCTACTTCCTCTGATGGGGAAGTCCAGGCCACCCCGTCAGGGAGGGCCTGCCAGAACCCAGCAGAAGCCCTTCTGCCCCCATGCCCACAGGGCTCTTTGGAGCTGTGCAGAGGCTGGGTGGGTTTGGGCGGTGGACACTTTAGCAAGGGATAGGGGTGGGACTGGCTGCTGGCTCACAGGCTAATTCTCCTGGCCCTCCCTGGGCTTCCTGCCCAGCTCTTCCTGTTCATGGGTACTGTGAGGAAGGCCAGGACTCAGCGGACTTAGCAGAGACCCTGCAACCCCATTGCCCAAGGCCAGCACCTCTGGGCCTGGGGGCTCTGGAACTGCTCTCCCAGGGGCTGGCGGGGCAGAGCTACCTGTCCTCTCCCCAGAACGTGAAACAAGTCCAGTTTCCCTTGGGCCCTCACCTGCTCCACCTCCTGCGTTCCCCTCACCCTCGCCTGGCCATGCTCACCTACTAAGCCGTGACTGTCACCTTTTGCTCCACTTTGAGTTCACCTGGGGAGGCAGAACCACCACCGACGTCCCATCAGTTGAATCAGACTCACTGCAGCTGGGGTGAGAAGAGCTACTCAGGCAAAGCGTCTTTCCCCTCCCTCCCCACAAACGTCCCTGCTTGACTTCTCTGCCCCTCCCCATGTCCTACTGTCGTTGATTTACTCAGACTACAGGGTTAGAGGCGTCACCGTTCCCCAGGCTTTGGGGAAGATATGTAGATCACGTGGGGTCTCTGCCTCTGGGAAGGAATGAGCACTTAAGACTCCACAGCCAAGAATTACCCCAGAGTGGGGCAAGTGCTGTACCTGGGGGGGTGAACAAGCGGAATGAGAAGAGCTGAGGGCATTCCTAGGAAATCAGGCCACCAGACGGACCATTCAGGAGCCAGGAGCCCCTCCTTCCGGCAAAGGCCCTTGGAAAGGTTGAGTAGAAAACACGCAATTGGAGGGGATTCGGCGCAAGCCACATGCTCCCTCTGGTGGTCAGAAAGGGAATTGCGCCCTCAGACGGAGGCTGTCGTGGTCGGAGTTGTGTGATTAAGAGTAATTCACCCAGTCGTTTCCCTGGCTTGGTACATCTTTGTGACTCAATGCAGGTCTGAATTGTGGAAAATCCCAAAGTGAAGCGAAAATTCAGTAACTGCCAGCCCACGTGACCTTTCTGGAGAGGGAAGGGAAATGTTCACAAGACTCCTGGCTAGGAAGCAAGTCCCAGGCCTCTGAATGCCACCTGGGGCCATGGGGCTCATTAAGCCTCGGCCTGCAGAGGCCACCCCCCAAGCCTCATATTCAACCAGGCTGGGGGAATCTGGGTACGTGGTGGTTTGAAAAGCCCCTCAGGTTCAGACCTGATAAAGCCTCACATTTCATAAGGAGGGAGGACTTGAGGCAGGGTCAGCGAAGGGAAGTGACTCATCCAGAGCAGGTGAAATTTCCCTTTGAGGGTGGCAGGCTGGATTGTCCTCTGTATGGAACATTCTAGAAACTTGACTCTTCTCTAGTGCTCTTATGTGGGCCACAGGTCTGGAATATCCCTCTTCCTCTGTGCCTTGCTGCTGCGTCCAAGAGGCTTTGGGAGCCCCCCTCCTCCTGAAAGTCCCCCTGGCTGGACCTGCCCCATTCGTGTTCATTTCTCCCAACCTCGAGGGAGAGCTCAAGTGTGTGCCTCTATCTCCTGCATAGAAAAACTGCATTCCGTTTAAGGGTTTGGCCGACACCAATGAGTCCACATTTGGAGTGGGGTATCATAAGGACTTGGTGCTAAGTTGTAAGTCACCAGGCCTTCCTCTGTGTGGCTCCTGGCCTCCTCTGGAGTTTCTCCCCCCAACCCCAGGCCTTCTCTGTTTCCCCTTCACTCTCCAAACCCCCAGGCAGTCAGTGGGGAGTTCACCTCCCTGCCCCACCAACTACTCCCCGTCCTTTGGATGTTCGTGTGGTGGGAAGAGCTCTGGAAGGGGAGCCAGAGACCTGAATTTTACCTCTGGCTCTGACTCAGGCTGGCCATGTCACTCTGGACAAGCCACGGCCTCTCTTGGAGCCTCAGTTTCCCCTTCTGTAAATTGAAGATGGTCTGTTTTGCTCTCTAAGGACCCTTCCCTGCTCAAGCCTTCTGTGTTTTTAGGAGAGTTGGTGGTTATCAGGGACTGGGGGAAGTGGATTAAGACAAAGAGCTTAATTCCCAGATGGAGCGGGATCCATCCTGCCTCTGGCCCCCAAACATGCCCTGTTCATTTCCTGCTCCAGTAGCTTGATTCTCCTGCCAGTTCTCCTCTCCCCTCCCTCAAAAGCTTGCAGGCCCAGATGAGGAAGCCAGACGCTAGGTGGTGCCAGAATCCCACAATTCCTCCAGCCTTAGAGGCCTCTGAGTGAAGGGAGGGAGAGGAAAGGGGGGCTCCTTCCTGAGTGCAGAAGCTCCCAGAGGCCTCCCTCCATGACCTCAGCCTTGGACTCATAGCAAAGGGGGCATGGGCATTAGGAGTTGGGCACTGGTGGGCAGAGCGACCTGGCAGCATCTCAGGCTGAGGCTGCCCTGAGTGGGTCCCTGCCTGCATGGACGGGGACTAGAGCAAGTGTGTCGATGGTCTCACTCTCACCATCTGTTCCCTGACCCCAGGCCCTGGAATTAACCAAGCCTCCAAATAGGTGGCCCCAAGAGTGGAAAGAGGTGGCCTGAGCTCAGTACCAGGAGGGGACTGGGAAGAGGGCTGGCTCCTTCAGGACATGTGCGGAGGCCCAGCAGCAGGCCCCTTGGACCCACCCACCCTGGCCCAGGGGTGTACATGTGGAAAATGGCAGAGCACAGGAATGTGACCACACACAGGCTCATCTTGGTAGCCTGGGGCCTCTCCACAGCAACTCCTAGGCAGGGTTGCTTCCAGGATCCCAGCAGCAGCGCCTGGCACCTGGGGCAGAGGCCTCGTGGGTATCCAACAGGGCCGTGGCTTTGACCCCCTGGGCCTTTCAGACATCCCAGATGCATAAAAGCCAGGCTGAGGCCTCTGTCCCCAGGGCTCCTGCCAGTTCAGGGGGTACAAGGAGTGGCCTACAGATGACAACACTGAACTTGCTTTTACAGGCAGACAGGTGCCTGAGCAATTACTTGAAAAAACAAATGAGACCCGGCTGTATTTGTACTTGAACTTGGAGAGGCTGGTGGTGACAGAGGAGGCAGATAGGCAGGCAGGCGAGAGAAGCAGCGGTCTCTGATGCTAACTTTATTATGAGCATGAGGTGGCAAGGGGCAGGAGGTGGCGATACCACCTGGGGGTCACATTGAGTCTGGAGCTTCCTTCTGCTCAAGCGCTGGCAGTGACGGGGACAAAGGTCTACAGCCCAGGGAAGAAGGGGAGGTAGCAGAGGCAGGGCCTGGCTTCCCAGCTGGCCCCTGTGCAGTGGGTGGCACTGCCGAGGCTGAGAAGACAAAGGCAGGTTGGGGCTGGGCAGGTTGCAGCAGAGGTTGGGGTTTTATTTCCTCCTTGTCCATCTCACTTTTCTCCAGGGCTCCTCTGTGATCTCCTGTGGCACACACTGCACGCCAGGCCCTTGGCAATCATCTGAAACACACCATAGGTGACAGACCACCTGGCTGATGTGTGGGTGACCCTAAAATTCTCCCCTACCCAGTCCAGGAGCCAGAATTCTTCACAGTTGCCCCCAAGCCTGCCCTCCCCTCCCGTCACCTTCCCCGGGCCCTCCTAGCATACCTGCTGTTACAGCTCATCTTCAGTGATTTGCCTGGTGGGGGAAGGAAAAGCAACAGGTGAGAGGACCGGGGGAGGGGTGGGTCTAGGGATCCCTGAGGCTGGGGACCCCTCCACAGTGGCAGAGACAAAATCCTCAGCCCACCCCTCTTCCCCAGCCCGGAGCCCCTCATCGGTCACCCCGGGCAGCGCTCACCTGCGCTTCTTATTGGCCCCACAGCGGAATCTTCTGCCTTGAAAAGAGAAAAGGAGATTTGTTTCCATGGACTCGTTTTCCAAGGAGACCCTGGAAGACTCAAAATTCTTCCAGTCTCTCCTACCTCCCTCCTGCCAGTCAAGACTGCAGGGTCAGTCTTGGAGGCCAAGTTTGACTGTCCCATTTTATTTTATTTTATTTTATTTTATTTTTTGAGACAGGGTCTTACTCTGTCACCCAGGCTGGAGTGCAGTGGTGCATAGCTCACTGCAGCCTCAAACTCCTGGGCTCAAGCAATCCTCTTGTCTCAGCCTCCCAAGTAGTTGGGACTATAGGCACACGCCACCATGCCCAGCTGATTTTTTAAAAAAACTTTTTTTATAGATCGGATCTCACTGTATTGACCAGGCTGGTCTTAAACTCCTGGTCTCAGGAGATCCTCTTGCCTTGGCCTCCTAATATGCCGGCATTACAGGCATGAGCCACCGTGCCCAGCCTTCTTTCTTTTTATGTAAGGCTGAATCACAGGCATTCAAGAACCTAGGTCAGTCAGTCAGCAAATGTTTACTGGAGCAGATCCATGGTGGGCTGTTGGCATATCGAGAGCAGCAGCAGACACTGGGCCATCATGGTGCCCCCAGCACAGTTGCCCGGTGAACACCTGGAGAAGGATGGCAGCAAGTCCAAAGCAGAGCCCCTTGCTTAGGCCACTTGCCTCCTGTGCCTATGTGCTCAGCTACCACCCCGCACCGCCCTCCGGGAGCTGCCATGGGCAACACGGGAAAATGGGGAGACCCACAGGACTGTGTCCAAGCCTTCGGGTGGGGTGCAGTGGCACAAGTGCATGGAATTCCAGAGCCCACAGGTGTGCTTCCTGTATCTTCTTTCCATGGGTTGTGTTTTCTGTGTGTTTTTCTTTGGGTTGGACCAAAACAAGTCAATGTGCAGTTATTAAGCTCCTGCTGTGTGCCCCTCAGGGCTTGAGGATACATAAGTCTCCTCGTCTCCCCCAGAACACTCCGAGTCTGCACTGGACCATTCTTAGAGCGCTGTCCTGACTGCTGTGTCTTTGGATGCTAGCCCTCCTCTTGTGAGGCAGGTGGGATCATCCCTATTTAACGGATGAGTTTGGGACCATGGTTAGCAGTGGGGGGCCTAGTGCCCCTGCCTGGCCCTCCAGTTACCCCGCAGGTTCACTCTCACCTCCAAGGTTCCTTCCGGGCCCACTGGAGGGTGCACTTGAGCAAGCGGGAACCTTACACTGTGCTCCCAGAGCCTGGCACCCCACCGGGCACCTGTTCCCACATCCTGCAGGGGATGTGCGTGGTGGGGAGGCTCACCCCTTCCTTGGGGACTCCTGAAAGCCAGCCTGCTCAGCGGCTTTGAGAATAGACGTGCCCCAGCCAGCACCCCTTCCCTGGAGGCCACCCCACTTACTGAGGAGGATGAGGAGTCCCACGATGAAGGCCAGCCCGGCAAAGATAAGGCCCCCATTGCGGACAGTCTCATAGTCTCGGGAAAGAGAGGGCAAGAAGAGTGGGATGGGTGGTCTCTCCCAGCAGCCATCTCTCCCCGCAGCCCGCCCGCAGCAGCCCGTGGTCACGGGGGGAGATAAGGGGCACAGAGCATGGACCTGGGACTGGGAGAGGCCGCTGCTTGGTGGGAGGGGTCCTGAGGGCTCAGGAAGGGTGAACAGGGGCCCAGGCTTACCATAGTAGAATGGGTCCACATCCCCTCTGGGGCTGCCGCCTAGGAGAGAGCCAGAGGTAGGATGAGAGGAGTCACCAATGGTGGGCCAGCCACAGGAACAGCTGGAATTCCCTGTCCTTCCCTTCCCAGAGGACCCTCAAGGGTCCAAGCGGGCGAGGGGAGGCTGGGAACGGAGTGTTGCTAAAACCATTGCCAGCAGGCTTCTGCTCTAGGTGGCTTCAGACACAATCAACTGGGGCCCAGATACCGAGTGTCAGAGGGGGATCTGTGCTGTCTGGGGGGCCTCTGACCACTCCGGAAGGGAGACGATCTCCTGCTCCTTGATTCCTACCATGGTAGAAAAGGCCAGGAGAGGCCTCTCCCATTAGACTCCCAGAGGCCTCTCTCCACAGGACCATTTGGCTATCAGGTGCTTAGCAGGTATTTGTGAAATGCATGAATAAATAAAACAGAACCTTAAAGTTTATCAGACAGAAGGAGGAAGCTGAGCCCAATGTGTAGACTTGTCCAAAGTCCTAACGATAGCTGAGACAGACCTCCTGTCCTACGTTACCATCCTCAGGGGAAGCAGATCTAGTTAAGAAACATTAATATATAGTGCTGGTCAGGCACCGGGCAAAAGCTAACAAGAGCCTAACTCATCTAACCATTATGGCAACCTTATGAGGCGTCAATGTCATTCTGGTGTAATCCACAAGAGGATGGAAGTACAGAGAAGTAATTCCCCCACAGTTATAGAGCAAGTCAGGAGTCAAGCTGGGGTTTGAACCCAGGCAGCAGGGGGCTGAGAATGGAGGTGCATAAGCCCTTTGCTCTGCCGCCTCTCAATGGCAGGAGGGAAGGAGCCCCTCAGAGGCAAGTTCCTGCCCCTGCCTCCAGTGGCCTCCCCCAGATTTGGAGCTGCTCAGCAGGCAGGACTCACAGTGGTGCCCTGCAACCGAGTACACTTACCCCGCACAGCCAGAAGGTGGCCTGGCCGGGACGCTTCTGCCACAGCTGAGGGCCACTACTCTTTCCTGCCCTGCTGGAGCCCCTTCTTGTACCAGGGAAGTAGAGCCCAGGAGGAAAGAATGCGCAAGTCAGCGCCTTCCAGGCTGTGGCAAACTGTGCCCCTGGGCAGTGGTGAGACTCAGGGTCTGGCAAGCCCAGCTGTCCCCAGCAGCCAGTCCCTGGGCCAGGAAAGGACAGGCCAGGAAGAGTCAGTGCCCATCCTGACGGGCCTGAGGTGCTGGGTGCTCAGGGAGACCATGAGGGACCCAGCGTCTGCGCTGTCATCCCAGATTAGGTTCAGGCCTTGTTCAAGATCATATGTGGATTAAAGTGTCAGAGCAACAGCTAGACCCAAGTCAAGGCTTCCCCACACACCCTAGGAAACCTCCTCCTCCATGGTCACCTGGCCCTGAACCACTTGCCGAGACCCTCTCTGCCCAGCACCCTCCCCTTTCTGCATCTGGCTCAAAACCCACCTCTGTCAGCAAGTGCCCCTCTTGGTTTCCAGGTCTGAGTCAGTTCCTGTGACAGGAAGCCTTTGAGGTGTGTGACTTGAACCTGGGGGGCTCTTAACCCAAATCCAGCCTAGGAAGGCTGACCAGAGGGGCCTGCTCCTTCCCCAGCCAGATGGACCCCGTCTGCCTCCTGCCCAAGTTCAGATGGTCTAGCAAGATGCATTGAACTCAGGGTGGGTGTGTGCCAGGAGGCCGAGGAGGGACGCTCAGCTCTCCATCTTCTATCTGCTGCCGTTCTGCCACTCAAGTTATCTTTCTCTGGGGTTAAAGCAGGGTTCTCTTTTAAGTTGCAAATTTTCTTAGAGAGGAGGCCGACAGGAAGTGGGGCTGGGTACTCTGAAAGGCTGAGGTGGCAGAAGAGGGAAGGGTAGAGTCCAGCTGACCCTGCAAAGGCAGGCCAGTCAGAGCCACCCAGCCTCACACACGCCCGGGCACACACACCAGCACACTCACCACCGTCCATCGACAACCCAGTCATTTCCCCAGCTGAATGGGCTGTCTCCACTCCCTTCTTCCTGCTGTCTCTGCTTTTTGGAGAGTGTCTGGCTGCCTCCGCGGGGTGGCCGGGGACGAGGCGGGGGCATTAAACATTAACAGTGCCAGGTAATATTTACCCTGGTCACAAGAAAAGCGGCAGTGTGGATGGAGGGGCTCCTGCGGCAGGGTGAGGAGGCGCGTGGGGAGGCAGGGGCAGGGAGGAGCTGGCTGAGTTTCTAAACCCTCCCAAAGGAAATTTCCAAAGAGAAGGGCTGGGATGGGTCAGCGGTGGTGCTGTTCTGCCAGCTGGGGAAGCCACAGCTGGGGCGGTGGGAACAGGAAAGTGGAAGTTGTACAATCTCTTCAGTGTACTCTGTACTTGGGAGCTTCCGGGGGCAGTGTCAGGGGTCCCACAGGGCCCCCAGCCCAGGCAGGGCCCGCCGCACCAGCCACCATGGATGCCACCGCTGCAGCAGCTGTTCCTTATGTGGCGCTGGAGGCTTTCCTGCAGTGGTCCCTAGGAGCCTGGCCCACTGCTCCCCCACCACATCCCTGGAGCACCCCCAAAGCCCACCAGCAGTAGATCCTCCAGAAGGGCGCTTCATCTGTCTTCCTATTCATCCATCAACATGCACCCTGCAGGTCACACCTCAGTCGGAAGGGCCCCAGTCATCCCCAACTAATTTCTCCTTCCCTGCCACCCCAGCACTTCCTCCTACCACCATTTGGCCTGGCTCTTGGATTGTTTCCTTGCCCGTTTACCATGGCGCATGCAGGATCCTTAAGGACGGGGCAAGACTTTCATCGCAGGGAGAATCCCCTGCTTTTATGGTTTACCAAGCAGTTTCCTCATTGTTATCTCCTTAAGCTTTATGTTTCCCGTTTTACTGATGAGGCAGGTGTCTAAGGCACAGAGAGGTGGGGGCCTCGCCCAGGGTCACACAGCCATTGTGGGGGAAGTGGAGAATGACAGTCAGGCCTCCTGCTACAGGAGGCAGCTGCTTTCCACACCTCGCAGGCAGCCTCCCGACTCCACTGTGACCTCCTTCACCCCGGGACTCCTGTGCTGGGTAGTCGTGGGTACTGTGGAATCCTCGTTAAGTTCTAGTCCATTGAATTGGCCTCCAGAAGAGGCTGAAGCCCAATGCCCACCAAACAGCCAAGGTCAGAGGCCAGCAGCCACCAGAGGTGCTTGAGCCCTCCTGAAGGGAGCCACTCTATCTATGAATCCTCCCCAAGCAGGGGCAGGGCTTGGCACTTGAGTTCACACCCTGGTCCTCTCACTTGCTAATAATATGGTCTTAGTCAATTACTTCACCTCTCTGTGCCTCAGTCTCCCCATCTGTAAAATGGGCACAGTACCCAGCTCCTAAGGTGGCTGTGAGGGGAAGTGCAATAATGCATGCAAAGAGTGTATCCCGGGGCCTGGCACACAGTGAGTGGCATCATTGTTACTGGTATATGTGTGCTGATTGAAGAAATAACAGGCATTAGCTTTTCGCAAATGTTTGCTGTGGGACATGGAAAAGCCAGCCACTCTCCAGTGCAAGTGGGCACGAATGAGTGAGCTGGAGGGAATGTCATGGCCCTGAGGATCAGGTGTGCAGCTTCCTTCTGCTTCCAGAGCCAAGGAATATATATCTGTGCAAACATCCCAGCAGAGCCAGCGTTTGGGGAAGATGGGCCATGCGCCAGGTTCTTGGCATGCACTGCATCACTTAGTTCCTGCTAGCGCCGTTTTACAGATAAAGAAACTGAGGCTGCTCCTTTGCTTTCCACAATAGTCCCTGGAGGTGGCCAGGGCAGTGTCATGATCCCCACTGGGTACACCAGAAAAACCGAGGGCAGGAAGGTGAAGGGACTTGCCTGAAACACACAGTTAATGGCAAACCGGAGGTAGAAAGCCCAGACCAGACCCTCGAAGGTGTGCTACCAAAGCTACTGCCGTCTCCACACAAGACAAGGTGCTCCCTTTACTATGCAGGATTGTGTCGTCTTACTGGGTTTTGTCTATGTTTGTAAGCCTCCGTGGATTCTTTCAGGAATAATAAGAGTGTAAAAATAAGTGGGAAGTTAATAAATTCATCTGTCTGTCTGTCTATCTATCTATCTATCTATCTATCTATCTATCTATCTATTGACAACCCAGTCATTTCCAAATGGACTGTCTCCTCTTGCCTCTTCCTGCTGTCTTTGCTCCTCAGCGGGGTGGCCGGGGATGAGGTGGGGGCATTAAACATTAACAGTGCCAGGTAATATTTACCCTGGTCACAAGCAGAGCTGCAGTGTGGATGGAAGGGCTCCCGCTGCAGGGGGAGGAGGTGCCTGGGGAGGCACCTATAGACGGATAGATGGATAGATAGATCGATCGATAGACAGATAGATACGGATGATAGATTGATCAATAGATAGATAATAGGAAACAATAGTTGAAAGCTAGTTGCATTTTTAAACTCTGTGTGAAAGGCACCGTTTCAAACACTTTACAGAAATTAATTTTTTTTTTTTTTTTGAGACGGAGTTTTGCTATTGTCGCCCAGGCTGGAGTGCAATGGCATGATCTTGACTCACTGCAACCTCTGCCTCCCTGGTTCAAGTGACTCTCCTGCCTCAGTCTCCTGAGCAGCTGGGATTACAGGCATGCGCCACCATGCCCAGCTAATTTTGTATTTTTAGTAGAGACGGGGTTTCACCATGTTGGTCAGGCTGGTCTCGAACTCCTGACTTCAGATGATCCACCCACCTTGGCTTCCCAAAGTGCTGGGATTATAGGCATGAGCCACTGCACCTGGCCAGAAATTAATTCCTTAGTCATCACAATGACTCTTACAAGGTAAGGAAGGCATTATTATCACCCCATTTCATAGAGGAAGAAACTGAGGGCCAGAAAAGTTAAATAACTTGCCTGAGGTCAGATGGCCAGAAAGTAGGGGAACCAAGATTTGAAGCCAGCAGTCTGGCTTCTGAGTTCCTGCATCTCTGAAGGACGGATGGACAGACAAGTAAATGAGGTGGTTGGATAAGCTGCCTTCCCTGCCCTCGCAGCTCAGAGATGCTCTGCCACGTTTCACAGCAGGCCCGCGACTCCATACGGAGATGCTCTCTTTTGGACATTCTGCCTCTCTTCCCTTCTGCCTTTCCTGCCCTTCTGGGGAGCTTGTGGGTGCACTTGAAAGGGACGGGGCTGGCACCTGTGTCAGAGCCTGAGCAGGAGGAGGAATGGGGTTCAGAGGACTCACCCAGGTACCACCTGTCCATAGCAGGAGCTGCTGGCTGTCTCCAGGAGTGCAGGAGAGCAGGGAGGTGCCGCTTGCCCGGGGCCTGGATGGAGAGTGGCACTCCCTCCCTTCACACCTCAGGTGAGCCCACAAACAGGAAGAGACACAGGCAGGGAGGAGGGGCTGGCAAGGGAGCCCTTACCTCGTGCCCACTTGCTAGGGCAGGTTGGGGCAAGGGATCCACGTGAAAGCCAGGGGAGATTCTCTGACCTCCACCTGGCACCTGGAGATGGAGAGGCCGTCAGATGCAGCAGAGCCAACCACAGCCCCAGCCCTGGCCCTCTCCCTCGAGAGGCTCCATGCCGCAGCCAGCCCAGGGTGCCCGAAAAGGGTGCAGGAGCCAGGAGGAATCAAGGAACCCAGTCTTCCCCAGGTCCCTGGGCTGGTGGCAGCTGAGGGAGACCTTCAGGGGCATTGAATGGGTCCCCTGAACGTTACTCCGCTGTACCTCCGTCCTCCAGCCCAGCTGGGCCGTTGCCTGGACGTATCCTGCCCAAGACCCAGTCTATAGCTAGGCGTCCCCTGAGACTGGGAGGCCCAGCTGCAGCCTCTCGGGGGAGTGGGAATGGTTTCCAGGACCCTGTCCTGGGACCTAAGGCACCGGTCCCAGCTTCCTGTGTCGTTCTGGTCGTTGGCAGAGAATGGGGAGCAGCTGCGGGGCTGGGAGCCGGAGCTGTGATGGGGGCTGCTCCTGTGGCCTGCCCTTTCCGCAGCTGAAACCCCTCACTCAGCCTGCAGTGGCTCGCTCAGCCCGCAGTGACTCACCCCAGCTGTGATGTCAGGCCCACCTCTCACACCTCAGAGGGCTCAGCTGGAGACACCAGCAGCCTAATGAGACTCTGGGGGCTGCTGGTTGGTATCAGAGGGGAATGCCCAGAAGACAACACTGCTAGGCCTAGGGCAGGGTCAGATCCAGGAGCCAGCAGGGAGCCGCAGGGAGCCCCACCAGGCACAGCAGCCCACTAGGCAGGGTGTCCCACCACGCAGGGAAGCCCACTACGCTGCCCAGGCAGTCGCTGTTCCTCGGCCACCAAGGCCTTGCCCACAGCTAAGCTGCAGTGAGCAGTCTCTGTGTAGCTGACTTGGGACCACAGGGTCTCCCTTAGGTTCCTGTGGCCGCCCTGGCACGGCCACCCCAACGCAGACACAGAGAAGCAGGGTTGGGAGGGGTTGGCTCTGGCCCCAGCCTCTGAGCGGGCTCTAGTCACTGTGACTCCTGCCTCTCTGTCCCTCCTTTGCAACACTCCCTGTCCTGAGGGGAGGACTCATGACATCCCAGGGAGCCCTCACAGGGCTGAAATGGAGACCAGGAGGTCTAGAGAGGTGCTATTTCTTACCAGGATGGGCTGAGATCGGCGCTGGGGTCCCTGAGCACAGCCCTGACTCCAGGCTCTCTGCACCTTTCCCTCCAGACCACCCTGGAGGCAGGGCCAGCCCTGCCCTGGGGTAGGTAAGAGCTCGGCTGGCAGGCGGGCCTGTCCCATGCTCCCAAGTGGAAACCTGCCCACTCAGCCCAGAGCAGCCGAGTGGAAATTCCCCGAGCTGGGGATAGAGAAGTTTACAAACCTCGAGGCTGGGTAAGACTTAGAGGTACCTGGTCCAAACATATTCTAAGTGGTTCGGAAAAGTGGAGCTCTCAGCCAAATCCCCCCCACCCACCCTGCCAGTACACACTCCGTTCCCTGCCCGCCCCCAAGGGTTGCGAAGGAAGGCATTTCTGTCTCAGAGCCTGTGTGATTGATGGCCCGACTAGAAAGGACACCAAGGCCATCCCATCCAAACCCCTCCCTTTACAAGTGGCTCCCTCTCTTGCTCAAAATTCTCAGGGAGGGCTCAGGTGATACGCCAAAATCTGTCTGTGTCCAGAAGGAAGCCCTTCTTTTTTTTTCTTTCTTTTTTTTTTTTAGATGGAGTTTCGCTCTTGTTGCCCAGGCTTGAGTGTAACGGCGTGATCTCAGTTGGCTGCAACCTCTGCCTTCCGGGTTCAAGCGATTCTTCTGCCTCAGCCTCCCAAGTAGCTGGGATTATAGGAGCCGCCACCAAGCCCAGTAATTTTTGTATTTTTGTATTTTTTATTTTTAGTAGAGACCAGGTTTCGCCATGTTGGTTGGTCTTGAACTCCTGACCTCAAGTGGTCCCCCACAGGCGTAAGCCACCACACCCGGCCAAAAAGCCTTTCTTAATCTGGCTCCAGGCACCTCTGAGCTGGTCCCCGACCTCCCCGCCCTGCTCTCTGCTCCAGCCATGCCAGCCTTCTTGACACCCCTCACCCTCCAGGACCTCCGAACGGGCGGTTCCCACTTCCTATATGCTCAGCCTCCACAGGGCTTGCTGCTCAGTGCACACTGGCTTCAGGGCTTTCTCCAAAGCCCCGATTCTGGGCATCTCTGTATAAAAATGTTCACACCCACCGCCTCAGCCTGGCTTTTCCTCTGTGGCACTTGTTCTTACCTAAGGTATGTGTTTCCCTTATCTTGTTTGTCCCTCTCCCAACTAAAATCTAAGCACCAGAAGAGCAAGGATTTTTGTTTGTTTCTTCATTCCCCCATCCCTGGAACAGCACATCGTGGGACCCAGTTTTATAAAGTGAATGAATCAGTCCCAGGCAAAAATCAGGCAAAAATGGGGACAGGACAGAGGTGAAATCATTTCTCCCATGCTGCAGGCAGACCCAGGACTTTTCTCAGGCAGCCTCCTTCCATGCTGTCGCCTGTCCTGTGAGGAGTCACAAGACCCGATTTGCCCTCACAGAGGCAGCAACCCCCACCTTGCTGACAGCTCCCCCAGAGTCCCTCACAGAGGATTCTCTCTCACTCCTCTTGCACCCCATCCCCACCCCCTCTCCTCTCCCTTAACCTCCCCTTCCTTCTCCAGTCCTGCAACAATTTTCAGAAATTGTCCTATTTGTTCTTTGGGGGAAACCCAGGCATTTGTTAAGTCAAGCAGGTCCCACCCCTCTCGCTTCACTCACGTTTAAGTCCTTCTCAGACTTCCTTCCTGTCCTCCCCCAGCTAGCTCAGGTCATGGGTCCTAGCTGGCACTGGCACAGGGAGCCCCTCTCTGAGACACCTGCTCTCCTACAGAGAGGTCGAGGCCCTTCCACCTGTGGCCCATGTTCCTGAGAGCAGCTCAGCTCAGGAGGGTCTCTCCTCGTAGACATCTCCATGCAAGGCACCCTGAGGGCCAGACACACCCATACATAAATCCCCTTTCATCCTGAGACTTCGCTGAGGACTGCCTGACCCTGGGCAAGGGCACCCCTCTGGATCTTCTCCACTTGGAAAATGGGGTAATAACACCTACCTTGCAGGATTGTTGTGGGAACAGAGACAAGGTAGGTCGAGCGTTTGGCCAGAGAAGGTCCTAAAAAATGATGGCTGTGTTTTCCTTACTCTGAACTGGTCCCCCCAGGAGACAAGAACACTCACGGCAATCCCTTCCCTTGGCTCAGTCCCCAGTTGGAGTGATCTCTAAAGCAGGCTCCTGGGAGCACCCTGCCCTGGCATGATCCCTGCTGGCCACCACTCACCCTGCATCTCCAGCCTCCCTTTCGTCTCCACACAAAACCAAGAAACCTCCTTTGTCTGATGGTTCCAGGCTGGAGACAAAGGAGCATCCAGCTGTGCTCTCCTGTTTTCTCCAAGACCCAGAGCTCTGGGAGATGCTGGGAGGTAAGGAGAGGCAGCGCCCACTCCTGGATGCGTCAGCACTGTCACAGCTGATGAGACAGTGCCCTCAGTGGCGAGGCCTCCGTCTCCCCTGTCTCCCCCAAGCAGGCCTCCCTTTTGTCTCCTGACTCCTAAATCTCAAAGCAGTCATTTGGGGTGGTCATTGCGGGGTTGGTGGGGCAGGGAGGAAATAGGCTGGAATTCAGCTGACCTCTGTCTCCCTGGCGATCAAAGGCAGAGGCCCCTCACCACCAGCTTCCCAAAATGGGGCTCTCCAGCTCCGCCGGCTCTGGCCTTTGTGGGAGTTTACAGCCTTGAACTCCAGGTCCCCAAATCAGTTCCTCCTGGTGTTGACTTGCAGCTGGAAAGGGCTGCAATGAAGCAGAAGCCAGAAGGCCTAGGAAGCCATGACCCCCGGCCCAAGTCAGTCCTCAGCTGCATAACCCGTGTGGCCACTGGGCAGGGAAAGCGGCAGTTCCCAGGCCCCATTCGTGCCACTCAGAGGTCCTGAATCCTGAGGAACGCTGGCTCCTGTCTCCTGCTGTGGTTGCAGGTGCCAGGTCACGGGGGTCTTATAAGGCAGGGCTGGAAGGAGGTGGGCCCCAGAGGGTCCATTCCTTAAGTGTTGGCTTCAAGATGGCCTGAGCCATGGTGCACAGAGGTTCTGAGAACTGCCAAAGGGCAATGTACTCTAAGAGTCAAGGTCACCAGCTGGTGACAAGGGCAAACCCATTTGACCCACCTCTCCCACAGTGAATACCCTGGAGAGAAATGCATTCTTGACTGTTCTCAGAACTCATGTCCAGGCTTGAACTACCACAGAGCCCATTTCTTTCCAGCTTTTCTTAGTTTTCTTCTCCTGGTAACCAAACTCCCCCTCACCTCTGAAAAGCAGCTTGAGGCTCGCCGCCTCCGGGAAGACCTCGCGGAGCAAGCCCACCCCTGGCTACTCTTTCCTTCCCTCCACGACCTTCCGGATGCCACTGACATGGCTTGAATGGCTGGCATGTGGCTGTGTCACCATTCTCTTCATTTATAGCACAGATTGCCAAGTCCCTGGCCTCCTTGAGGCCTCAGGTCGGGTAAGCTGTTAAATGTTTGTACCTGCACTGAGCCTCGTGCTCACTCTCCACACTTGGCAGCAATTCCACCTATTCCAGGGTCTCGATGGTTCCAAATTGCTGCTTAGAGCCTCCCAACAATTCAGCCAGGCAGGCTGTGCGATGCCCATCTTACAGAGGACACCGCAGGTGGTCTGCAAACAGGTCAGAAAGTGAACCCAAGTCTAACAGAGACAAGAGGAACCCGGCCATCAGAGAATGAGGAGACAAGGAAACGGATAGTAATGCCAACATTAATAGCATAATAGCTACACGGAGAATTGTCACAGAGCTTCGATGTCCATTGTATCACTTTGACCCTGTGAGATAACAGAAAAGATTTTGATGCATTTATTTTAGAGGTGGTGAAACTGAAGCTTAAGTGGCTTTTCCAGGGTTACACAGCTAGCAGGAGGCCCAGCTTACCCCAAAGCTAGGAAGGACTTGATTATTCAGAAAAGGAAACTGACAGAGAGGCTGGGGTCTTTCCAAGCTCACACAGTTAGAGCAGAGGGGACCTCGGGGATGTTCTGAGCCTCAGGCTCCACCAGACTTCCTCCAAGCCTGGCTCAGAGGTAGGAATCTGTTCTTCTGGACAGTGCAGGGGGGCCCCTCCCCACCAGTCCCTGCCACCCAGGTCCTTCAGGACATGTGATCACAGCATCACCTGCTCTGCCATCATTGCCTTGGCAGGTGCTCCAATGTTGTGCAACCAGGCCCGGGGCTGGGCTGGCCCCATCAAATCAACAGCTGGTTGGCTTGGGCTGGCTGAGTCTGCCCCCCTGGAGCTCAGCTGTGACAGCAATGAATCATACTAATGGAGAGAGGTGGCCATTCCTTCTCTGTGGCCTGGAGACAGGTTTTCCCAAAACTCCTCCCCTGGCTCAGGCAAACACACCTGACCTTTCTCTCGCTGGGCCCAGGGTGAGGCAGAGCAGCCAGGAGCAAGGTGGGGTGAACCAGACAGAGCTGGAGTGCTCTCCCACCCCTGCTTTGCCCAGCCACCCCGCCAAGCCCATGATTCCAGGCAGGGTAAGGCCCTCCTCCCAGAGGAAGGGGCCAACAGTCCAGTGACCTTGGAGTGCGCTTCGCCTGGCACTCCCCTCACACTGCTCCCTACAGCTTGCACTCTGCCTCTGACTCTCTTCCAAGAACAATTGGACAAGTTCTAATCTACATCTTGCAAAAAAAAAAAAAACACAAAAAACCCAGAGAGGTAGGAGGGCCACAGCACCTGGGGTCCCAGAAGGCAGACTGACACCTATTCCTACTGTAGGGGTAAGTAACGCAAAAACCTCCATGCAGAGACATGGAGGTCTTCGAAATGGAATGGTGGGGGGCGGGGGGTGGAGTCACTGGGAGGCAAAACGTGCGGGACATCTGAGGTCACTGAGACCAGGGAACTCGGGATTCCTTTCTGGGAAATGACACAGCATGGCAGCTGTCCTTCCTATACAGTCAAGCTACATTTGCCTCATTAAACCAAATCACAGCTACAAACCAGTGCCACATGCCTGGAGGCTGAGTGGACACTCCTGGACCTCCTCACGGAGATGTATAGCACTCTGAGCTCTGATCCAGTTGATCTGTGTGAAGTCCCCAGACAAACACATAGTAAGTGTTCCATAAATGTCAGCTGCTCTTGTTTTTTGTTTTTTTTTTTTAAATTATTACTATTTTGACCATCATTTCTTCGATTGTCCTTCATGTGTCTTGTTTCCAGACCATTCAACTCCCACAGGAGGCTTCTTGGAGCACGGTCCAGCTAGTTCGTCTTGAAGGGACAGCCATGCTCCAGGTGCAGTCTTAGGAGCCATCTGATCACTGTCCCTTCATCCAAGCATCTGCTTTCTGAAGGAGACGAGGCTATGTGCTTTCAAGCGCTGTGGACACACAGCCTGGGGTCAAGTCCTAGCTCCTCCACCCCCAATTGGACCAGCCACTATTGTACCTCTGACCGATCTCAGAACACAGCTGGATTACCAGGAGGAAAACTAAGTGAGTGCTTAGAGGCTGGCAAAGTAAGGAGAACCATTTGTAGATGATGTGCCAGAGATGCTGACCATCATTCCTTACTCTTAATTATTATGAGAAAAATGAGAACCCCCTCCTTGGACTTCCTTATTCCTATGCTGAAGTGTAATGTTCTGTTTTTAACAATGTATGGGGGCAGCACACACAGTGCTTTGCATGCCTGGGGCCTGTAAGGGTCTCAGTCTGGCCTTGCTCTGAAATTGCTGCAAGGCCTGCCAATTCCCTGATGTATCACGAGTGTTCCTGAACAATAAGCTCATTTACCAGGTCTAGCTGTGACCAGATATTTTTTAATCACCATGATCACTGGGTTGACAGGTTGAGCTTGAGCTCCACCATAAGCCTGAGTCTTTCCAAAGGCCTGGGGGACCGAAGGCAGAAGCAAGAGCACACGTAGAGAAGGCACCGAGCAAGCGGATCTGTGCAGTTCTTCGGTTCTAAACAACTCGCAGAATCCAGGCGGACTCAGGGCCTGTGCAGCCACTGGGCAGGGAAGGTGGTGGTTCCTAGGCCCATCAAAACCCCAAGGAGCACTGACTTCTGTCTCCTGCTATAGCTTCAGGTGCCAGGTTCACTGGGGTCTTAGAAGGTGGGGCTGGAAGGAGGTGGGCCCAGAGGGTTCCACTCCTTAAGTGCTGGCTTCAAGATGGAAGATATTAAGACGTTCCAGGGGTTGATTCTTTTTTTGAGACACCAAGATGTTCCAGGCTTCTGTAGAGCAGGCACAGTCCTTGCCCTCCAGGACAAGGACTTTGTATCAATAAAGACACAAAACACTAGAGGCAGAAGCTGCATACGGGCAACCTCCATGCAGAATCTGCCCGCATCTGTGTTTGTTCAGCCAACAGTGCTTTTTAGAAAGTTGAGTCAGAATGTCTTTGGAAGGATACTGTAGGTGACTGCAGGCACCATGCCCCATCGTCTCCCCAGCATATTCACATATTGGCATTACCTGCCTGGTCTCCACCGTCTGAATGCCAAGTACGAAGTGTGAATATAAAGGCAGTAAACAAGTGTGATTGGGGCACAAGAAAGGGATTCAGCTGGGTGTGGTGGCTCACGCTTGTAATCCCAACACTTTGGGAGGCCGAGGCAGGTGGATCACTTGAGGCTAAGAGTTCGAGACCAGCCTGGCCAACACGATGAAACCCCATCTCTACTAAAAATATAAAAATTAGCTGGGTGTGGTGGAGGGCACCTGTAATCCCAGCTGCTCAGGAGGCTGAGGCAGGAGAATCGCTTGAACCCAGAAGGCAGAGGTTGCAGTGAGCCGAAACCACACCACTGTACTCCAGCCTGGGTGACAAAAGCAAAACTCCGTCTCAAAAAAAAAAAAGAAGGGATTCAATTCTACCTAACACCCAGGAAGGCTCCATAGAGGAAGGAGTATTTCATAATGCACGTCACTCACCCTGTCACTCCCTTGATCCCTTCCTTCCTTTTTTCTTTTTAGAGACAAGGTCTCATTCTGTTGCCTAGGCTGGAGTGCAGTGGTGCAATCATGGTTCACTGCAGCCTGGAACTCCAGGGCTCAGGCAATCCTCCTGCCTCAGCCTGCCGAGTAGCTGTGACCACAGGTGTGCGCCACCATGCCCAGCTAAGATTTCACCATGTTGCACAGCTGGTCTTGAACTCCTGGCCTCAAGCAATGCTCCTGCTTCAGGCTCTCAAGTTGCTGGAATTACAGGTGTGAGTCACCACCCCTGGCTTCCTTTTCAAGTCCTTAGGTAGTGGCCCCAGAACTGACCAAAGAGAAATGTTAGGATGTTTTACTCCAGGCCACTGAGTACTTGGAGAAGCCATTGTGACTCCCTTTTTTGCTCCAAGATGGTGTGCAATGTACAGGTCCTGCTATGGGATGTGGCTTGAGCCCAGTGGCCTGGGAAGGTGGGAGAGAGGGAGGGAGGAAGAGAAAGGGTGGGAAGGTGCGGGGAGGAAGGGTTGAGCAGGAGAGGAGGAAAGTGAAGGAAGAAAAGGAAAGGGAGGGAAGAGAAGCGAGGAGGAGGCAACAGTGACAGCCGCTGAAGGGCTCTGTGCCTGCCTGGCTGGCTCTCCAGTCCTTGCTTCCTCCCTCTGACCACAGACAGACTCCCTCTGGCCCTTTAAGTTCCACAGGCCCTACAAACACTCAAGTTCTTTCACAGAAAGGAAAGCACCTCTGAGCCACTAGGAAATAAAGGATATTTTATTCCTTTTTTCTGTCGTTGTTGAGCGGATAGATCACGATACAGAGAACAGCAATGGGTCACAGCGCACGGTTTGGTTGGTTTCCACGGGAACACAGAGGACAGGAGGGGCGAGATCTGGGTTGAGTTCCCACTCTTGTTATGATCTTCAACCTCTCACTGTTCCCAGGGGCTGCACGGAGCCTGCCGAGTCTCCAACCCACCTCGCTCGCCGCTCTGACTGCCGACAGGCAGAGCGAAGGATGCGCGAGTTGCCTCTGCTGCCCATCTAAGGGGACGTGGGCAGAGAAGCAAAGGCCTCTACTCTCCCTCCACCCATCCCAATGTGCTGGCCCCAACGGAACAGGAGTCCTTCAGCTATTGCCTGCCAGAGACCCAACGGCAGGGACTGGAGTCTGCGTCTGGATGAGCTGAGCTGAGCTGTAGATTGAAGTCTCAGAAGCAGGGAAGGTTGGAAGGGGTAGGGTCCCAGAGCCCATGGGGTTATTGCTGAGAAGATATGCAGGGGACACATTCCCCAGGGGCAGAGTAGAAGCCCTGGGCCTGGAATCTCCGGGGGCTCTGTGAAGGGGCGGGGCAGATGGGGACTCCTTGTGGAAGCCCCAGGGAAGAAATTGACCATGGAAGGACATAGCCTGCCTGAAGTCAACGCTGGGCTCACCAGCTCCTTGCTTTGTATCTCCAATTGCTAAGAGACCTTCAGACTGGGGTCAGGTGGGATAAGGAAGCAAGGTTTTTGTTAAATGAGTGAAAGGAGTCCATGAAGAATGATGACAAAGTGCTGCAAACCTTCCCAGGTCCCAAGACAATTGAAGACCACTGCCCGTGCTCTTACCCTACGCTTCCCTAAATCAGGGGAGGGGGCTGGTCTCGGGGAACAAGCAGCCTCCTAGAAGCAGGAGGTGATGGAGGGCTACAGGGGCAGGGAGGAGCAGATGGCCATGTGGCTCAGCCCCTGCCCGGGAAAGCAAGTCCACAGTTCACTAACAAACACAATACCGTCCACGAACAAGTAGCCACGAAGACCAGTCAGCAAACACACACACTCACACACATACACACAGATACATCACAGGAGGTGGGCAGGACCGCAGGCTGCAGTGGGGAGGCAAGTGTTAGTTGCATCATCAGGTGGAGGAATGGTGTTAGAGGGGATAGGAGGGCGGGGGACACACAAGTTCTTGGCTTCTCCTGGGGAAAGGGCTGTTGCTGAAGTGGCCGGTTTTCTTAAGCATCGACATTTGCATCCAAAGGTTCAAGCAGCCACCTTCAGGTTCCGGAGGCTGAAGAGGAGGAGAATTTAAATTAAAAACACTTTAGCTCGCCTCTGGTATCCTTATCTGCTTCTCTCCCTTCCTTGAGCACTTGCCCACTGAACTTCCTGGTATGACAGCCTTTCTGAGACACAGAGAAAGGAGACGAAGACACAGGGGAGGGGTGAACCTCAGAGGAAGCCTCTCCCAGATGGGCTGGAGCCTGGTGGACACGGAAAGGAAATTGTTAAACCCAGGGCCTCCCCAGTGGTTGCTCACAGTCCTGAGCCTTAGGATAAAAGGTTTCTGGGAAAGAACTAGTTTGAAAAAAAACGAAAAGACATTTCATTTCCAGGCTGCCTCCTCTGAGCCTTCCCATAGATTCTCAGTCTGTGATGAAATAGACAGGACCCCAAGCTACCAGGAAGGGCACCTGCCTCCTAGGTCAGGATCTTCGTCCATTCACACTTAGGGTGATCACTTGCCTTCGAGAGCCCCATCCAGAAGACGGGAGTAATGAGCTCTGCCCATCACGGGCTGCTGTGAAGATGCAAAAGCACTTACGAAAGAATTTAAATGCTGCACAGGCACTGCACTGTTACGACCACAGTAGAAGCTGGTGCGCCGGGCACTTCATCATCCAGAAACCTCTTTTAACTTACAATCTAAGATAAACTTATATACCTTTCTATGATGCCTTATTTGTATGGGGGGGGAAAAAGGCAGAAGTGAGCTGACAAAAGACAAACCTTTTCCCTTAGGATATTCCAGGGCATGTCATAAAGCAAGACACACAGGACGGAGGGGAGCAGTGGCGCTGAACTACAGCCACGAAGGCCTGAGTTCACAGTCCGGTCTGTCACTCTCCATGGGGCTGTTCCCTCTGACATTGGTTTCATCTATAAAATGGGCTAAACCCCACTTGTCCCATCCTCTGTTTCTGGCAGACTCGAGTGAGTCTGTGTGTGTGGCTGCACTCTGAAAACCGTACAGCATTTGCCAGTTATGACTCTCCTGTGACCCCTACGATGAACAATGGAAGTAGATGCTAAAATCAGTGCCCCGAAATGTGGAGAGGGAAGGATCATATATTATTTGCTCTACTTTTGGGTGGGGTTGGGAAGTTTCATAATAAGGTGTTTTAAAAAAAAAAGTGGCCCTAAAGTACTTTCTGAATCAGCACGGAAAGCCGTTATCTTTATGCCACTTTGTGATTAGCAGCATTTCACTAACTCTTAATTCTCCCCATGTGGCAGCTGGGATGATGCCCTATGCGCTCGGCCTTTGGGCTGTGTGGAAGCCCCGTTTCCTGGTGTTTGCATGCACATGTGTGGGACACCTTGGGTGTTTCTGGTCCTGGTCTCTCTCACAGCCCCTTTCAGACTCCTGAAGGCTCCTCAGGGCAGGGCCCATAGTAAAAGCTGTGCCCACTGCAAAAGCTAGCCCCATCCTTCCTGCCTGAACTCCTGTCCAGGCCCTGATGCAGACGGTGATGGTGACAGGGGCCGATCCAGGCAGTGAGCATCTCACCTTCCACCTGACGGCTGCACTTCAGTTCTCTGCTTTCTGGGGCTCTGTTGCTGGAAAGAAAATCAGAATGGATGATAGTATATAGACTCCTCACCCCAGTGGGCCACCCCCAACAGCAGCCGTGTCTATGCCTGACTCTGGGGGAGCAAAGAGGTGACAGCCATGGGATTTCGAGTCAGAATGATCTAGGGTGAATCCTGGCCCTGCTACTTGCTGCTTACAGGAACCTGGTAACCTCTCTGAGTCCCTCGGTTATAAAATGAGGACAGTGATGCCTATCTCACGGGGCTGTGTGCACATTAAATGATATGGGGTCTGTGCCTGGCACAAGCAGATGCTCTGTAAATAGCAGGTGACACTAGTAGTAGCCTGTTTGGTGGAGTGAGGGGGCAATGCTGCAGAGGCCCTGGAGACTCCCTCTCCTGGCACTGCGGGAG